ATCCCCTTACAGAAGGGTCATTGGGAGGAGACAAGCCAGTCAGGGTGCGGTGTAGTGTAGCAACAATGAACTTTCCTCTAGTTCCTAAATGCCCCTCCCCCCACGACCACCACCACTATCATGATCCCAATTCTATCTTACAAATCTGGCTAGACCAGAGGATGTACACTGGTACAGATAGGAACTGGAAACACAGGGAATCCAGGAAGGATGATCCCTTCAGGACCAAGGCTGAGAGTGGCGATACCCGTAGGGTAGAGGGACGGTGGGTTGGAAAGGGGGAACGATTACAAGGATCTACATATAACCTCCTCCCTGTGGGATGAACAACAGAAAAGTAGGTGAAGGGAGACGTCGGACAGTGTAAGATATGACAAAATAATAATTTATAAATTATCAAGGGTTCATGATGGAGGGGAGAGCCGGCGGAATACGAAGAGCTGATGCCAGGGGCTTACGTTGAGAGCAAATGTTTTGAGAATGATGAGGGTAACGAATGTACAAATGTCCTTTATACAGTTGATGTATGTATGGATTGTGATAAGAGTTGTAGGAGCCCTTATTAAAATGATTTTTTTTTAAATGATTTTTTTTTTAAAGATTCCCCTGGACTGTCTCAAAGGCTTGAAGGTAAACAAGCAGCCATCGAGCTCAGAAGCAAAAGCCCACGTGAAAGAAGCACATCAGCCTGTGTGATCATGAGATATCCACGGGATCAGGTATCAGGCATCTAAGACCCAGAATAAAACCATACCCAAAGTGAATGAGTGGGGTGGGGGGCATGGAGTGGAAATGCAATGCCCATCTGTAGACAATTGGACACCCCCCCCCCACAGAGGGGTCACAGGGAAGAGATGAGCCAGGATTCATGGAAACAATTATCCCAAGGGAATCTTTTTTTTTTTTTTAATACTTTTATTTGGGGCTCCTACAACTCTTATCACAATCCATACATCCATCCATTGTGTCAAGCCCATTTGTATATTTGTTGCCATCATCATTTTCAAAGCATTTTCCTTTCTACTTGAGCCTTTGATATCAGCTCCTCATTTTTTCCCTCCTTCTCCCACTCTCCCTCCCTCATGAATCGTTGATAATTTATAAATTATTATTTTTTCATGTCTTACACTGACCGATGTCTCCCTTTACCCACTTTTTTTTTTCATTCTTCTTTTCTCTAGATGGGGAGAGACCAATAGTTGCAAGGTGTGGCCATTCAGCTTTTCTAAGACCCATAACAGAACCTCAGTGCCCTTAGGCAATGACTCCAGCACTCTCCTCCGTCCTATCTGGGTAACCACAAATAAAAGTAGATCTTCTTTGTAATAGTGGATAGTTCAGCACAAAAGCCTATGTATGTCACGATGAACAAATAAAAAGAAAAATGTCTTTTGACACCTCAAAACTTTATAGAATGTGAACTGTAAATAAAATTCAAACTTTGGTTCTCTGTGCATTCAAGCAAGTTGAACCATAGGAACAGATTTTTCAAATGTAAAATTTGAGGGCTGGTTGAGATTATTATTATTGTAGTTCAAGGACTGTTTGTTGGCCTTTAGGAGTGTTTTCTGGTCGAGTCTGATGGGGTGCCAAGCGCTGGCCCCAAAGTCTTATTTTTGGTATTCCCTGGGGACTTTGTTGTTCTGTTCCCCTTGCTGTTCTGTTGCACGGCCTTAGTTTTTTGCCTCCGTGTGGTGGGATCAGATCGGGTGCAGGTTGAGATTATTTTTAAGGGCTTTCTCAGGATCTAATGTTTTTCTAACTCTATAATTCTATGTTCAATTGTTAAGGATTTCTAAATATTCATTTTCCATTCCTGATGCATAATGCCAAACCATCCCTCTTATGCAAAAAAAATGTTGCCTATTTAGAATTATTCAATAATGAAGCATGAATCCTTTGTAATTTCCCTTCATATAGCAATCTACCTGGATATGAATGATTGCCCGGGTTTAAATGGCTTCACATTCTGCCGGGGCCATTTCAGGTCGGAAGTCTTTCTGTGTTTTCATTATACTGCTCTGAGCTGCAGGCCTCCTTTATAGCACCTCTCCTTCCTCAGACTACTCCTACAGGGAGAGGGTGGCAGTTGTTAATGACCAAATAGATGTGTGGTCCCCATTTTACAGTTTCCCATGTGGAAGGGAAAAGCTCCCCACTGTCACGTGTACACTGCAAATTGATGGTTTGCTGGCAACAAGACATTACCTTCTGAGTAGCTTTTGTAAACGAACACTCACTCTGTCAGCTTGAAATGTGTTTGTTCAAGAAAAAGAAGACTGGAAGTCTGGAAACTGAATAATTGCTAAAAACAAAGACTTGGACTTGGGTAGGGAGAGGGAGGAAAGGCAAAACCCAGAAAGGGGACATCCCAGGATAGCGAAAGGAAGAGCCAGTGCAGATCTCCGAGCTGTGTTATCACCGACATTTTTGCATGCTTTATTCCATGTTATCCTCACACTTGATTTCTGTAGGTTCGGTGCAGACCGATAAATGGCCTATCTGAAGTGCTGGACATCCAATTCATGATACTAGGAGTAGTGCTCTTGTCAGAAATTTTCAAATCAAATTCGAATTAAACAACAAATAGAAATAGGTAGGCATTGGGACTTTACCTTCGGCCGACCCACAGTTTTCTGCCTAAATTGGACAGTAGCTGCAGAAAGAAAAATGCCCAGAACAACGCCTTGCTGTTTTCTATAACAATTATAATGTACAAGGTAAAGATTTTAACTTTTCAGAGGAGCCTAGGGGCAAAGTAGAGTCTCTGAGTGGTGCGAATGCTGTTAACATGCTTCGCTACCAATGAAAGGATTCAAGGTTAGAGTTCCTAGAAGCACCTTGGGGGCAGGGCACTTGAAGGGTGGGAAGATAGCCATGGAACACCCTATGGAGCAAGTCTGCTATGACACACATAGACTGCCAGGAATTGGATCAACTCAGTGAGGAACTGGTATTTTTTATTGAATAGCTTAGTAGTGAGGAATGTGTTTGCTTCTCCCGTTTGTTTGAGGATCAAATGAGATAAAGTAAGAAAAGAAGGCGAAATAGGAGAAGGGAAAACAGGAAGTAAATAAGGAGTTGGAAAAGGAAACAAAGAAAACCTCAATCAATTCTATTAAGTAGGGGTGCAGGGGGGTAACTGAGCTAAGATTGGAATGGATTCAGTGCTACTCAGACTCATAGGAGCCCTGAGAGTATAATGGGATATGTATTGGGCTTCTAGCCACCAAGTTCAGCAATTTGAACGGACCAACTCTTCTACGGGAGAAAGATGAGACTTTCGGCTCCTGTAAAGATGTACAACCTTGAAAACTCAGAGGAGCAGTTCAACTCTGTCCGACAGGATCACGATGAGTCAGAATCAACTGGATGGTAGTGAGTTAGAACCCAGACTCATCTCCAATTCTGTATGCCATTGAGCCCTGTGAAGGACTCCTGTGTGTGTCAAACCGTGTCCTTGAAGGCTGGTAATCCACTGGTGTTGTTCAATTGGCCTTACTGCTAAAGAAAGGAAAGGCAGGAGGATGGATGAAGTAAGTCAAGTTGTCAAGGTCCTGTATCTGGAAGAAGCTCCCTATCTCTGTAGATGATGGCAGCGATTGTGTTAGAAACAACTTCCCTAAATATTAAACCTCATGTTTGGAAACTCTTTGTTCCTCTTTCCGCAAGAGAGTTGACTCATGACCAACTCTCTTCATGGAGGTCACCCTGGGCAAAAGGCTCTGAGCATCTCAAAATAATGTTGACCTTCTCAATCACCTGGTGTAGTCCTAAAATACCTGGTTTCCACATCAAAAGTAAAAGCTTACTTTTTTTCTTCAGATCTTGAAATTATGAACTATGTGGTGACTGAGGATAATTGTAGTTATAAATAAAATCAACAGTTGATATGTGAGAAGCAAAATTAATTACCACTCCCTTCCCACGCAGACACTTTGGTTCACACCATCTAGCACATGAAATAAGACCCAAAGGTGGACTGGGGCTGTGTGTCATCCTCTTATCCGAGAAGTGAATTTACAGGCAGGGTTTCTGTTTATTATTCTTGTAGCATCCAATTACAGAATACCAGAATGCTTAGAGGTGAACTGAATTATTGAAAAATAAAAGTAAAGAGGGCACAGACAGCTATTATGTGTGTTCATAATAGATTCACCAAACTTGGCAGTGATGAAAAATGCAAACCTTTAATTCAAAAGACAAATATCACCTTTCATAACCCTTGGGAAAATTGCTGTTTTCTCTCCAAACCTGTAAGATTTAGTAATTATGTTAGACAAAGGCCAAAAACAGAGGACAGAGTGCAGGCTCTCAGAAGAAGGATATGTGGATCCAGGTTAAAGTTGAAGCAATCCATCTACTGAAAATGTTACCAACTTCTGTATAAAAAGTGGTTTATTGTTTTCAACCAAAAGTTTCCCAGCACTTTAGCCGAAGGAGGTCTAGGGAGCTCAAGGAGAGAAGGTGAAGGGAGGGTGGGGAAGAAGAGGTGGGATTAAGGGCGGTACTTAATCTGAGCCACCTGACTCTTGGTCTAGCATTCTGTACTTTACGTTGTAACAATTCCTGAGACATTATTAAAATGATTGAAAATTGCCCTGTCAGCATTAGAAACATTACCTTTCAACCCTCTGAACAAAATGGAAGGAAAAAACACTAGCTGTGTATTTCCGATGAATATTTGATACATAGATCCACTTGAATATCAAATGAAAATACCTTACAATGACAACCGGAGAACGTCGGACTGGCTCCAAACACAAGGAAGGCTTACGTGGTCCATAATCTTGTTCTGTAAATATCATAATATGCTTCTGAGTATCTAAATATCATAATATACTCCTGTGGGAGGCATTTCGGTGTGTGGCTCTCCAGGGCAACTTCGAGCAGAAGTAACCACCATTCTTAGGGAAGACACGATTGGAATCTGCTCAACTTCAACAGTCACAACAGCATGTAAATCTAGAGAGAAACGAGTTTCTCCTTTCACCACCTGCCTACCTGCTACTCACCTGGAGAGACTGGGGGTAAAATTTGGCGAGTACTTTCCAGAGAGCGCTTTTTACTTCTTTGTTCCTAAGGCTGTAGATCAGTGGGTTCAACATGGGAATCACCACGGTGTAAAACACAGACACAATTTTGTCTGTGTCCATGGACTGACCAGAGCCGGGCTGGAGGTACATGAAGATGATTGTGCCGTAGAAGATAGAGACTGCGGTGAGGTGGGAGGCACAGGTAGAGAAAGCTTTCTTGCGTCCTTCAGCCGACCGCATCCTTTGAATGGCAATGCATATGAAGAAATAAGAGATAAGGATGACCAGGAGGGTGGAAAAGACATTGAAGCCCACAACGAAGAAGACCACCAACTTGCTGATGCGTGTGCTGGAGCAAGAAATGGCCAGGAGTGGGGGGATGTCGCAGAAGAAATGATGAATCTCGTTCGACCCACAGAAGGAGAGCCGGAAGGTATCTGCTGCATGGATGGAGGCATTCAGGAAGCCACAGACATAGGAGGTGATGGCCAGGAGGGCACACACACCTGCTGTCATGGTGGTTGTGTAATGAAGAGGCCGACACACTGCTGCGTGGCGGTCATAGGCCATAGACGCCAGCAGGTAGCATTCGACAGTAGCAAAACCCACAAAGAAGAAAAATTGAGCGGCGCATCCATTGTAAGAGATTACTTTGTTTCCTGACTGCAGTGCAGCCACCATCTTTGGAGCGACAGCTGATGAATAGCCCAGGTCTACAAAGGAAAGGTTACTGAGGAAGAAGTACATTGGAGTGTGGAGGCGAGAGTCAGAGCGGATAATCACCATCATCCCTCCATTCCCAACTAGAGTGATGAGGTAGATGCACAAAAATATCAGGAGGAGGGGAACCTGGAGATTGGGGTCATCAGTTAATCCCAAGAGGATGAACTCTGTGGCTTCTGTACTATTCTCCATTGAGGGCAACTTGAATTTCACCTGTAGTGACTCAAGAGGAAGAGTCAATGCAACTCAGCTGGAAGTATGAGGGGATGACGATAAGATACAGGTGAGGGAATGTAATCTATAAGTAGGCACATACTTCCATTGTATTACAGCCTTTAATCCTATAAAGTAGGTGCTAGTGCACCCATTTTACAGATTTAAAAGAAAAGTTAAGGTCCACCCTAATCATTAGGGGTTAGCCTAATGATTAGAACCAGAACCAAAATGCACACCTTATATTTCTAAGTACCAAATTCCTAGACTCAGAGCTTAGATTCTTCAACCTGTGTGTATGGTGTCTTTGAGGTGTCTGCAGCATGGTCTTAAAACTTTTGTCTATTCAATGTTTAGATGTCAAAGGGAACCATACAAAATAGAGTGTATGTACCCCTCACTTCTTCTCCCCCCGCCTTTTGCCCTCTATTGTCTCAATAGAGATGTTCTGACATTTCCTATGCACTTACAATTAAATAGTATTCATTATAAAAATCATAACAAGTGCCTACTGTATCCTATATACTGATAATGAGCTTGCCAAGAAATTTGTTTTACTTGAATTCACCACCGGTGCCCTTGGAAGCAGCAATCAAGAAATAAAATGACATTTTGCATTGGGCAAATCTGCCACAAAACATTTCTTTAAAGTGTTAAAAAGCAAAGATAACATTTTGAGGAATAAGGTCAGCCTGACTCAAGGAAAGGTATTTTCAATCTCTCTTATGTATGCAAAAGCTAGACAAGGAACATGGGAGGGCAAAGAAAAACTGATCCCTTTAACATATGGGTAGGCAAAGAAAGTTGCATCAATTGTGAGCTGCCAGAACAAATAAATCGGTCTTGGAAAAAGTACAGGCAGAACGTTCCTAAGAAGCGAGGATGGTGAGGTTTCATCTCACCTACGTTGGACAAGTCGTGAGGATGGAGCAGTTCCTGGAGAAGAACACCAAGCTTTGTAAAGTAGAGGGTTGGTATGAAGAGGAAGACCATCAATGGGATGAACTAGAACCAGCCCCGCAACAATGAGCTCAGGATAGCACCGATGGTGAGGTTGATGCGGGACCAAGGACCATTTCATTCTGTAGGCAGGGTTGCTATCCAAGAGAACAGACCTGACAGCAGCTAGCAACAACGGCCTATTCCCAGCACTTCTCTAAGGGCTTCACTTGTGATTAATGCACTCAATCTTTGCACTAACTCTTCAAAGCTGGTCCTATTATTCTCAGTGCACACAAGGAGAAGCTGTTTACATGATAATGATACTCTATTTCCTTACTTTGCAATTTTATAAATAATGTTTCAGAATTTAAAACATGCACATACAGCATATGTTTTCTTATTTTAGATTCTTTCCAGGGTATTGTATACCAGGTCTCCTGTTCATGGATACTATCTGCTCCTAAACTGTTATAGCTCTGCCTGAAGACTGGAGCCTTGGTAATCTATTGGTTACATGTTGGGCTGTGACTAGAAAGGTCAGCAGTTCAAAACCATGAGCTACTGCAGGGGAGAAAGACAAGGCTTTCTGTTCCTGTAAACAATTACAGTCTCAGAAAACCCACAGGGGGTCACTGTGAGTCAGTATTGACTCTATAGCAGAGAGTGAGACCTGGGGACTGGAGAGCTATTCCGCTGTGGTCCCCAAATCACCTAACTGGTAAATGTTGGAACTGGAATTAAAACTCTGGTCTAGTATATATATTTATAATAACTAGCCAATCCCACTGCAGTTGGGATGCTTCCAACTCAAATCAACCCTGCACAACAGAGAGAATTGTGCCATTGGGCAGCAGTTCTCAGCCTGTGGGTCACGATCCCTTTTGGAGTCGAACAACCCTTTCGCAGGGGTTGCCTGATTCATAACAGCAGCAAAATGACAGTGATGAAGTAGCAACGGAAATAATGTTATAGTTGGGGCATCACCACCACATGTGGAACTGTATGAAAGGGTGGTGGCATCAGGAAGGTTGAGAACCCCTGCCATAAGGTATCCAAGGCTGTAAACCTGTACTGAAACAGACTACCACAGATTTCTCCTGGGGAGCACCTAATAGGTGCTGACCTTCAGGTTATCAGCTGAGCACTTTAACCATTGTGCCTTCATATGCAAATATATGCATACACACACATATGTATGTGTACATATGTATATTTCAAAAAGTTCGTGAACTTTGTGAAGCCCCTCATATATATGTGCATAGGAACAATTGTGAGCATGGGGGAGACTGGAAAGTATTTCATTCTGTTGTGGATGAGGTCACCACAGAGCACTTAGTAAACATACCAGAGGTTTTGGTGGTTGATTCTGGTTACAGTTCAGCCTTCCTTTCTCTGCATATTCTCAACACACTTGAGTCTGGCTTGATTATCTTGCAATTATTCAAGCAGTCTCCAACTCCCTAAGTAACACTAAGCCTCTTGGGATAGTGAAATGTCTTTATCCCCTCTGCACCCCTGCACGCCCTCCCGTCTCCCCCCTACAGCACCTCACCCCAACCTACAATGACCCCTGCCACCCAAAAATATTAGTTGAATTGAACTGCCTGTCAGTATCAAATCCTTCAACTATGTTTTATTATGCCATCTAACTCTAGATTTGTTTTTGTCTAACTGAGCTCGTGCTTCCTGAGGAAATATTAACTTAGATTTGTGGTAGGGAAAATATTCAGAATGAGCAGTGAGTTTGGGGATAGACAAGTGTGAAGGATGGTTTGTACCTTAATGTTCAATCGTTCTCTCTCTCTTCTTGCGTTGCCCTTTTCTGGAGTATTTATAGATTTTATCTGCCTCTGGTAGTCAAATGGGTGGGATCAGGCTCAGCAAAAGGAAGAGGGAATAGATTCAGAGGATGAAGGAGGGGAAGGAAAACAAAGGTTTGTCATTGTTGTTACTAGGTAGCATCGAGTCAGCGCTGACTCAAAGTGACCCTGGGCACACCAGAAGAGATGCCTGGCCCTGCACCATCCTCACAATTCTTATCATATTTGAGCCCCTTTGACAGCTAATCCATCTCATCGAAGTTCTTCCTCTCTTCACCTCACTCTCTACGTTGCTGAACATGATTATCCTTTCTCCAGGGACTGATCTCTTCTTGAGAGCATGTTCCAAATATGTCTAGGACAGGCTTCTAAGGAGCATTCTGGCTCTACTTCTTCTAAGACAGAGTTGATTATTCTTCTGGAAGTCCACAGTCATTTCAATATCCATTAGCAACACCACAACTCCAATGCATCAAGTCTTCTCTGGTCTTCTTCATTCATTGTCCAGCTGTCACATGCGTAGGAGGACCTTGAGAATCCTGGGCGTGGGTCAGGAACGCATTAGTTCTCAAAGTGTTCTCTTTGCTTTTGAGCATTTTAAAGAGCTCTTTTGCAGCAGATCTGCCAATGCAATATTGCTTTGTTTCTTGACTGCTGCTTCCATGAGTGTTGGCTGTGGATCCAAGGAAGACAATATCCTTCCCAACTTCGGTCTTTTCTCTTTTTATGATGCTTTCTATTGGCCCTGTTATAGAAAGTGTTGTTGTTGTTTTATTTCTTTATATCGAGGTGTAATACATGCTGAAGGCTGTAGCCTTTAATCTTTCTCAGTAAGTGCCTCAAGTCCTCTTCACATCCAGCAAGCCAGCAAGGCTGTGTCATCTGTGTATTGCCACCCCAGGACAATACACTGACAGATGAGTAGCTGAACAAAGGACTAAAAGGAGAAAGATCCTTCAGCTCTGCTCGACCATGGTTGACCTCGCATTCTTCCACTTGATTATATCATATGAATGCAGATTTTCATCTACCTGCAGCAGTTTCGGAGATTCTATTTATTGCATTTTTAAACCGATCAGCTGCAATGATCAGGTAGATAAAGAGCTCCGTGCAGGGCCAATAGAGCACATCCTACTTGCAGAACCGTAGAGTGGTGCCGCTAGTATCAGAGGACCTGCTCGCCCAGTCAACACCATCAGCCTCTCCCTCTGTTCTATCTCCCACCTCTATAAACAGTGATCCAATGAATATGTTGGTAGCTATCTTCTCCTGACTCTTTATTTCCCTATGATACATTTCTAAAATTTCATCTTTTTCAAGAATTTTTATTGATAGATTTCCATTCAGCCATGTACCAATTAGCTCTCCCACCTCACTGTTTCTACTGCATCTAGCCAGCCCTTTTAAGCTTTGTCATCGGCACAGATTTTTTTAATTCAGCTGACACATTATCCTTTATTTCCAACATTTTGGAAAATGGAAGTACTTGATGGCCTTCAATGTCACACAACTATTTAACTGTGAACTCTGTCCACTGTTCTAAAGCGGAGTTGCCCCATCTCAGTACCATTGACCTCACAGTCCTTTTTCGTTTTGAGAAGGTGTCCTCTGCACTGAAGGACATTTACCACATTCTTGGCCTCTACCTACCAGATGCCAGCAACAACCCCTCCCCATCTGCGATAGTAAAAAATGTCTCCAAATCTTGCCGTATGTCTCTGGGGGACAAAAAGACCCCAAGTTGAGAACCACTTTATTTACTTCCATGAGTCTTTTTTTAACACCAGCAACCAAATTCAGGTGATGGACCAGCAGTCTCCCATCCCACCCCAGCATGACAAGTATTGTCTGATTAAAGACCCCAAATTCCTACTGGAAGCTTCTCTTTGTCCCTATTTGTATGTGTCTGTAAGGAGAATGAAAGTCATTTTATATCTTTTTTTCTGAATCCCTTTCTTCTCCTAGAGAAACCCACTGCTTCTACCCATAAAGGGAAGATAGCTGCTTGGTGGAAAGAAGAAAAAAAAAGGTCAGAAATAGCGTACCTGTGTTCTTGAGAATTATGAGATCTTAATTCAGAACTGCCTTCAGCTATTAGACCTTTTGAAGCCTGAAAAAGGAAAGAAAGACTGTTTGGTCTCTGAGGACCTCAAATTTCAAACATTTAGACGTTTTCCTGAGGCTATGTAGTAAACATGTAAAAGCAGACCAGCTGCTGCTGTTGCAGACCCTAAGTGAATCATAGCAGAC